CATTTAAAACCCAGATGCCCACAGCGTGCAGGACTGTTCCCTGTTCCCTCCCTCCTCCTCCTTCTCTCAGGCATGTGGCTTGGACCCAAGCTGAAGGTGGGGACTTGGTGGTGGCTGCTCAGGAGGACGGTTCTGCAGAGTCACTTCTTGTCCTTTTGCAACAAGGAGGAACAGTGATGAGCATCACTGGCCTCTCCGATGACACCCTGAGGACGCACATCTGTGGTCCACAGAGCCTCTGAGGCTGGGATGGGTGGGGGGAAGTGTTCTTCCTTCCAAACGCGTCCCCAGCAGCAGCCGTGAAGCTGGCACAGAGCAGTGACAGCCAGAGCCAGCAGTGGTTTGGCCCTGCTGGGACCCACCTGGGTGTCTGCCCCACCCGCCGGCCTCAGGGCCTGTGACCCAGGCTTCAGGCCTCTGTGTGCAGCCCCGGTCACTTGTGGAGGGCCCTTGACCCGTTCCAAGCCGCTGGACTGCTGGCTCTGGCCTGGGTTCATCCGGTAGACGGTGGTTGAGCACGTTCGAGCTGCCGGGCATCGTTCATTGTAAGCAACAGCTAATCAATAAGCCAAACCCGTCCCTTGGAGTCTTGTTTTTGAATCTCACCATTGCCATGTACAGCTGTGGGGTTTTAGGGACGTTACTTAACCTCTGTGAGCAGCAGTGTCCCCGTCTGACGGACGAGGGGATGAGTGGCTCCCCCACAGGATGTCATGATTTGAAAGATCACTCTGTGCCTAGTCTGGGCTTCCCCACCTCCCCCCAAAAAGAGAAGAGCCCAGCTAGCCCTGGCTGCGCGCAAAGCTCCGAAGTCGGCGGAGTGTGAAACTGTTTCAAGGGTGGAGGATGGTGGGGGAGGAGAAGGGACATGCTGTGGCCTTCGTGGAGTGCCTTTGTTTTAGAAGCAGTCCCTGTGCAAGCAGCCTGGGGGACCCGGGCGCAGAGCCTGCTGCTGTGGTTCAGTCCCTCTGGCCTCCCGGCCTGTTCTCCCCAGTGCGGGGCCACCCCTTGCGGAATTAGGACCCTGGCATCAAGACTGTCTCCCTGTCTGCTGCAGGGAGCCGGGTACTCGGGATTCCTGTGGGAC